AGAGTACTAAAAAAACCGACCTAAAAATTCATTAATCAGCTAGTATGCCATGCTAGTATTTTTTTAAATCGCTTCATAAATGTCGGAGGGTAACCTATCACAAAATCGATTTTCTTTTTCCGAAATAACGTTTGGTCGAATTTTCATTACACCGAAAATCGAATTATAACGAAACTATTGTTCTTTCAGGATATGTTGGATGTTTATAGCAAAGACATGATTAGGTTCGGTTAGGTTAAGATAAGCCAGGTTTCCCCCCGAAGGGGTTCCCGCCTTGTCGTGGCGGGGGGCTCTTGTAGCCGTGGTCGATTTCATCCCACGGTGAAGCTAAGAGGAACCCACGGGGCCGTTTGATGGTGGTAGGCTGGCCCGAGGAGGAGGGCGTTCCGCGCGGGGCTCGTCTGGTCAGCGAGACCGCGTGGATGCGCGTTGGAAGGAGGGTCATGGGGGAGAGAGACGTGTCGGTGTGTCGTTGCCGCTCGTCCTATCCTCTGCGGCCGAACGTGGGCGGTTGGCCCGCGGTGGGCGCTCCAAGGGACTCTCTTCGGAGAGTCCACGCGGAAGCGCGTTAGGTGTTGCGGCGGAGCCACTGAACTTCACAGTTGAGTGGATTCTGTCCTGGCCCCCCATGGTCCCTGGGTTGCGGACTCGGGGGAGTTCGTTGCCCAGCATAAAGGGGCCCGGGATGGAAGGCTCGTCTGGTGTTCGGCGAGGCTCACATTCGGAGTCGGGGGACCGATGTGTCTCCCTTCTCGGGGAGGGGCTGCGCAGGGCGCGGCCAACCGCTGGTAGGGGTGCGGACGAGTGCAACAGCGTACCCGTACCCGTACCCCCACCTACAGCGGAGAGGAGGAACACTCCGGGGGTTTAGTGCAGTCGGACTGCTCCCCTTCAGGGTTCAGCCCAGTCCCACATAACACCGGCTCTGCCCCCGCGGGGTCGGGGTGTCTGTAAGCAGATTCCCCCGGATTAACAAAAAAAAAGTCAGGTATAAAAGAAAAAACATTTTCCTCGCAAAATTACTCTTGAGGTTATGAAAATTCGAGCAGACGTTATTTCTGGACAATGTGATTTCGGAGTACTGATAGGTAACCATGCCAGAGTTACAAAAAACACAGTCGAATGAAGAACCTCCTCCTGTTTTTAAAGTCGGTTCAAAATAGTATCATCATTTCAACAGCACACGATTGATATGCTCACGATACTGGAAGCATGCTAACAAATGGCGGTCAACCATTAGAATTGTAAATATATAATTTAATCCAAATCAACGTTAGATAAATCAGCTGTGATCCTTCTAACTTCCTCTGGCGATCTTTCTTTCTTATTTTCTTTCTTCTTCTCCATTAAACTCTTCGCTTCTTCTTTCTTTTGTCCGTATAACCTAGAAATAATAAAAATGGGATTTTAATACGTTTTTGAGAAATGGATGTAGTTTCAATAGGCACATTAATAATACAATTGTAAGCAATATAATAAACATTTTAGCCTGTGTAAACAACTCCCGAGCTTCCGAACTACACGGGCCCCGACGTCTCGACCGCGACCGATACGTAAGTCGTACATCGGCTCCAAGGCACAATATTTGGCCCAATGTTGGGAATATCACACATTTTTCGAGGATTACGAGCCTTCTTCGACATGCAGGTTTATACGACGATATTTTCCTTCGCCGAAAAGCTCATAATGCGTTTCAAATTAAACTTCGCACTAAGTAAAACATTTGAAGTTTAAATTTTTTTTAATAATAACTAAGTGACGTGACGTCATTGTCGTGCGCCTGATCGCAAACGGCACGCCTGTCCGCCCTGAGACATACGTTTCATGTGCCTGTAATGTTACCAGCACCCTTACCCTTCACACCCAGAACGCAGTAATGCCCATATTACTGCTTGGCGGTAGAAATAGGCAAGGTGGCAGTACTCTATTTGTTCTTGTAAGTTTCAATCGACCAGCGTGCCAAAAGGCTTATAGGTGCCTCGGAATTACTTGAGGCGAAGCTGCAGAGCCTTGAACACTGCCGTAGAGTTGCCAGAGTATCGATATTCTACAGGATATATCACGGAGAGTGTGCGATGGAATTACACGATTTAATTCCGCTTTCCCCTTTCCATCATCGGAGGACTAGGCGTAGGCTTGGGTTCCACCCTTATGTTGTGGATATTCCAAAGATTCGCACGAAGCGTTACGCTTTCACATTTATATGGCGAACGGATATGGAGTAGAATTCCCTGCCTGCGGAATTATTCTTGTTGTAGTTTTTTCTGATAAAATAGGCGTAGGGCTAGACCACCACCTAAGTAACAACTTAAAACAAAGGGTACTCGACTATTGCTATCCAGGAGCTACTTTTAGTCAAATTATTACACTGTTAAGTGGTTGCAAATAGTAGCATTGACGTGTTCTTGAGAATTCATGAGAAGTTTGGGTGTAAATCACCTAGGCATCGCTTATAATAAGTATATATATATATAACATAAATTCGCATATTCATAATTTGACTTGCCGTCATAGTGACGTTATATTTTGTTTTGACATTAATAAGCTCATAAGGAACTTCAAACTTTTGGAGGATAATTTAATTTTACCCATAAGGTATCTGAGACATATAGCTAGTTTGCTATCTTTTATTATTAAGGACGCTGTTATAGAAGATATAACACGGTCCCACGGCAATGCTCCTACTTTAAGTAGCAACAGTATACTTTTTACTAACCATAATTTAAACTGAAAAACACGACAACAGAAAAATCTAATCGTTTCCATATAGTATATCAAAATATTCAAGGCTTGTCTGGCAAAATTAGAAATAAATCTTTTTTGCATGATATTTCCGTTGACGTGTTTTGTGTTACAGAACACTGGCTTCACACTTCACTGGCGAAACCATTAACAACATTAGTCAGTTCGTTCATAAGAAAGAACTTGAGTAGAGGCGGATCCATGATAATTATTAAACGTAACTTAAAATTTAACGAGCGTAAGGATATCACAGATTATTCTACTGAACGAACTATTGAGATTTCATGTGTGGAATTGGATCAGTTTGTCGTCTTATGTGTATACAGGCCCCCCTCTGCTAATTTTAACGAGTTTTAATTAATTATGGAAGATAGTTTAAAGCGGATTTTTCCAACAAAAAAAAACGTAGTAATATGTGGAGATTTCAATGTAAGCCTGTTGGAAAACTATTCTACTTCTGTAAGATTTTATTAATTTATTTAAAAGTTTTAACTTGATTAATCTTTTCTTAGAACCAACTCGCATCACAACCTCCCCTTCTACTTGTACTGATAACATCTTTTGTAACACAGACGCTGTGTCTAAATCAATAATAAATTGTTTAAGATCAGACCATAGTGGCTCTTTTAATTGTAAAATGAGTAAGAAGGTGGACCAATTTCTCTACAGACCGATTACCACAGAACGAATCATTAGATTTCAAAATAATATCGGCAATAGTTTTAATTCCCTGCCCGATATACCGGAGGTTCCAAATACTTTTTATAGCACGATATTTGGTTTAATTAAAATGAATTTGATAATGTATTTAACTCGAAAACATTAACTTTCCATAGTGAGACGAAATTCAACGACTGGTCAGCAGTAGGTATTCATAAGAGTAGGTCTGTTTGTATGAGCTATATGCTATGAAAACTTATAATACTAATTCCAATTTCATGGAATATGTTAGAATTGATTCAAAAATATTTAAAAAAGTATGTGTAGCTGCTAAGGTTAAGTTTCACAGGGACAAAATTAGACAATCGATAAATAAATCTAAAACTACTTGGAGCATAATAAATAAAGAGTCAGGCAGGGTTAAAAAAACACGATAGAGATGTAGTTTTAGAATTAAACGGCAAAGTTATAAAATTTAAAGACAAGGTAGCCCAAGCTTTTGGATTTTGAAGCTGTGAACACTACAGAATCATTAAATTCCTCCCCTTCTCTTGCTATTGATCTCCTAAAGGAAAATGTCAACGTTTGTGGCAGTTTATTTAATTTTCGTCATGTTAATCCACAAGAAATCATAAAAGCTTTTAAGTCAATACATGTTAAAACAACTGAAGTTCTCTGGGGCATATCAACTAAAGTTATAGACTCAGTTATTGATCTGATTTCCCCACATTTAGCTGTAGCTTTCAATAGGTGCTTTGACGAAGGTGTTTTTCCTGATTTAATGAAATACAGCAAGGTTATTCCCTAATTCAAAAGCGGTAGGAAAGTTGATTCTAGCAACTATAGGCCCATTTAAATTTTACCAGCTTTAAGTAAAATATTCGAAAAGGTTATGCTGACTCAATTACTGTCCTATTTCGGTAGGAATCATATTTTTTATAGTGAACAATATGGGTTTACTAGTGGTAGATCGACTAATGATGCGGGGGTAGCGTTACTAAAACACATCTTTGATGCTTGGGAAAGGTCCCAGAACGCTATTGGTGTTTTTGTGACCTGTCAAAGGCATTTGATTGCGTTGACCATATCCTTATTAGGAAGCTGAAACATTACGGTGTAAATGGCAAGGCGTCGGAACTTGTCTCGTCATATCTCAACGGTAGAATTCAGAAAGTTGACATAAATGGAGTGACTTCTTTGGGTTTTCCGGGAAAAATGGGTGTTCCTCAATACTTGGACCTTTCTTATTTTTAATTTATATTAATGATTTGCCATTCTTTGTTAAGGACCATTGCGAAATGGTATTGTTTGCTGATGACACATCCTTGATTTTTAAAACAGACAGATATGACATTAACTATGACCATATTAGAGATACCCTCTCTAAGGTAGTTTATTGTTTTAATGCTAACAATTTACTGCTTAATGCCAAGAAGACAAAATGTGTTAAACTTGAATTACCTAACGTAAAATCGACTAGTCCAAACATAGAAATAAACGGAGAAAAGTTAGACATTGTTAATAAAGCAGTCTTCTTGGGAGTGACCTTAGATAGTAAACTTCAATGGTTTCCACATATATCTTCCCTTGCCAGCAGATTAAGCTCCGCAAACGCAGTCCGCAGAATACGTAAGCTTTCCGATGTTAGTACTGCTAGACTAGTTTACTTTAGTTACTTCCATAGTATAATGTCCTACGGGATTCTCATGTGGGGTAAAGCGGCAGATAGTCAAACCATATTTGTATTGCAAAAATGAGCGATTCGTTCTGTGTACCGTCCAGGCTCTCGAGTTTCTCTCAGAGAAAAGTTTAAGGAGACTGGTATCATGACTGTGGCATCACAGTACATTAACTCAAATATTTTATATTCCCGTAAAAATATACATAATTTCAATAAGAAAGAAGATATCCATAATATTAACCTTAGAGCTAAGTCCAAACTCATGGTACCACGATTTCGTTTAACCAAGGTAAACGACTCTTTTATGGGAAACTGTACACGTTTTTTACAATAAGATTCCGGAGCATATATTAAGTTTATCATTTCCTAAGTTTAAAAACTACATTAAAAATATTTTGATCGGAAAGTCATATTACAAAATTAAAGACTACGTGTTAGATAAAGACGTATGGAAAGACGACACGGCTCCAGAATCCACACAAATTTGATTCAAAGTGTATTCCATAGCATTTAAGTTTATTTGAAAGGAGCAAGCCCTAGAGTTTCTTGCTCGTTCTTCTCAAGGAAGTCAGCGTAGTGAAAGAGCAGTAGCTTAATGTAATGTAATGTAAATGTGACATTTTCAAGTGTAAATTTATTTTACCTATGCAATAAATGATCTTTGACTTTGACTTTGTTCCCTGAACATTATAACTTGGACCTTTTCAAGGCGAGAGTGAATAGGCATTATTTAGGTATGCATGCTCCATCGTCGACCTCGTCGTCACTTTCCATCAGGTGACATGGAGGTCAAATGCACACTTACATTTGAATAAAAAAAAAACTTACGTCTTCAAACTATCCATAATAGCCTGACTCATATGCGGAGATGCGGGTTGGTGAATCTCATACTCTCCATTCTTGTTCTTCACCAGCTCGACCACGGAGTCTTCCAGGTTGGGTACTTCCCCTGGTGGTCGGGTAATGGTCGGAGGCTTCCTCATCTTAGTTGCCCATGATTGTAGGTATTTGCCGGCATCAGATTGAAGGTACTGGAAAAGATGTTAAAGTACGATAATATCAGCTTTAATTTGTGGCCGTGGGTTTTGAGTAATCGAATAAAAGACTCGGTCCACATCATTTATTGTAAAATAGGAATAGGAAGAAAGATAAAGCACAGGAATGGCTGTAAGAAAATAAAATAACGACACATTTTATTTGTATAACGCACCGAGAAACATAAAATACATGAAGACAGAGTAAACCATTTGAAAACACTGTAGGCATATGGCAATTTTATTTTTGGAAACTAATTAAGTTACTTATATGTTTTACTTGTTTTAATTCGCGTCCACATTTTTAATTTTTAATTTTATTGTTAAATCTCCACTTCGAAAAGGGTACACTGAAAACCGCCGCAGTGTTTGCTGAGTTGTGCCCTTTTCAGTGCAACACATTTTAAGCATAAAATCATAATATTGTTTGTTGCTTCTAACATGTGTTTGTGCTGAATAAATTTGTTCTCTTTCTTTCTTATACACTTCCGGACACTTAATTCGAGCCACCTCGCATTTTTGTCTTAAAGGGCTAGAATACAAAAGTAGTGTTATCGGTGAAGAAAAAGATTTCCCTGGTTTTGCAAATCCAAATTTCCAACAAGAATCTATGGAAAAGTCGTTTAGTATACTAGTTTAAAAATTGCTTAATAGTTTTTGATCAATTAAACATTGTTTAAGCTTAGGCATTTATACTGAAAATGTCTGGGAGTTTATAAACACAGGCACAATGGGTACAACCATAGATATAGGAAAAACCATACAAAAATACTCCCTACTTAAATTACATACAGGTTAACAGGTTAGGTTATATACAGGTCAACTGTCTCCGTCGCCAAACGGTTATCATGCCGCCACGGAGGTCCCAGGTCGATTCCCGGGCCGGGATAAATATTTGTAAGGCCTATATTTATTTCCCTCGTGAGTTTGGGTGTAATTTGTGGTTGTCTTTGTGTGTGTCCATGGCACCCGCGACACAGGGTTTCCCTAGTGCGAGGCTATGTTGAGTGTCTGCGTTATTATTATTATTATGCGTAAACGTGGTAAAAAGGAACTTAGTTATGTATTTAGCCCAGTTATATCTTTTGGCCGTTAGATATTTCTGGTTAAATATATTTTGTGAGGTTCGTCGAGATATTTTTACCTTTCGTCACTGTGGTTACGTTTTGGAGAAGGATTCACTGAATTTAAATACTTTTTCAATTAAGATAAAAACTGTATTTTTATATAAAGAACTTCTGTAGAAATGGTTACCGTTGCTAGGTCTTGGTGATCGGAGGATCAGCAATCGAATGATCTGAAGTCGCAGCTTCAGTTCTTATATATTAAGGGTCTGAGGGTCGAATGGTGGGATAGTGCGCTAGTTACAAAGTAACACGGTTCTCGGTTTTTCGATAACAAGTCGTAAAAATGTCATAAATTCTAGCCTTAATGGTGACTTTAATTCTAAGTAATGTCATGGACGTGATTTTTGTAACATTCCAGATTTGTTATGCTTCGTGTTAACTATTGCACCATCTTTCGACATCTCGGATTTTAGGGTACCGTCATCATATAACTACTTACCCCAAAAGGGCCTGTATTTTCTACAAATATTATGCTTTATACAAGCAGTTAGGTTATAAACAAGGTGGCCAGGAACCAGAAAAGAGAAAAGGGTGGTAGTGAGATGATGCCAAACCAAGGCTACCGCTCTCCCAAGATATCAAAATAATTTCTCTGTGTGCTTGCTCTGTTGCTCCATGTGCTATTGAATGTATCCTGTCTTCTTTTTGGCGTCTTCAAAGTCAGTTAAAAATGTACAATACCTTTTCTCTATTCTTGTTGATTTTCTTCGGCGGCGATGCAGGCGCTTGTCTTTTATTGCTACCGCTCTGGAAGCCTTGTCCAGCTGAAATTAAACAATAAACAATACAATACAATACAGGCTTAGCAGCAGAAGAGCTCCTTGTGAAAGACCTCGTCCAGGGAAGTACTGCCACCGTACCCATTACTGCGTTCCGGTTTGAAAGGGCAAGGGTGCTGGTGAAATTTCAGGTACATGGGACTTGTCAACATATGTCTCAAGGTGACGGGCGCATCTTCGCGATTTAAAGCTCTGAGTGACACTGTACCTGTTATGGGCAGGCGTGTAGCTTACCACTGATGGTAGCCTCACAATGGCTCAATAATACGTATAATAATAATAATATTATTGAGCCATTGTGAGGCTTATGCTGTGCGGCACGGCTTAAGGTACAACGAGAAGAAGAGTGAGTTTTTGTTATTCAAAGGCAAGATTAAAGAGCCAGTCTATGTACCTCCAATCTTATTGAATGGAATACCATTGAGGCGTGTTGCACAGTTTAAGTATCTAGGCCATATTGTGGCGGAGAGTAGAAAAGATGATGAGGATATGGAGAGGGAGCGCAGGGCACTGTCGGTTCGAGGCAATATGTTGGCTCACAGATTCACGCGATGTACAATTGGAGTGAAACTTACGCTCTTCAGAGCATACTGCCAAAGTTTCTACACGTGTGCTCTGTTGTCTAATTTCACACAGAGATCGTACATCGCCTTGCGAATCCACCTTTAGGGTCTTGTTGAGGCATCCACGTTTCTGCAGCGCATCTGGCATGTTTGCGGATGCTGCTGTTAAGGATTTTTATGCCATCATGCGCAAAATGTCTGCAGCGGTGGTACAAAGGATGAGGGGAAGCAATAACAAGATCCTAAAGCTAATTGCAAACAGGATGGATGCAGCAGTTTTCCAGAGGTTCACCGAATTGCATGTACTGCGTGCGAATCGGTGAGCCGCTTGGACAGCCGGGTCCGTCTCATTTTATTTTTAATATTATTAATTTTTAGTTATGTAATTGTACTAACCCTAATAACTAACATAGTTATGAGTTGTTATGTTACTAACCTACTAATTTAAATGGATTACTGTGGTCCGAAATAAAAGATTTTTATTTTATTTTTATTTTATTTATTGCAAAAAAAGTACAAATTAATACAACACATTTAATAATATTTTTTAATTGTTACTATATTAGTATATTATAATATGATATACTGATATGTAACAAACGAAAAACTTATCAGGGTAGCATGTTTTAAGTTTAAACGACTATTTTGAAATAATTACGCCGTTTTAAAATTCAATTGTTAAGTTTTAAAATTGAATTTAAAACAGGACGTAAATATTTTAAAACTGTCTTTAAAAAACTTAAAAATGCTCCCCAGAATTTTTTTTCGAAATGGCACTTTCGCACTTTATAAAAAACACCGACGATATGTATTGTATTGTCTTAAAACATTGCGAGACCGTTAGCAAAAATGAATGAACTCACGACGACCACAGTGGTGTCTTTACTGTCACAGCATTAGGAATGTAACGACTTTTTGTATAGAGTGACAAATACCGCTATTGTTATGAGGTTTCGTAATTGCAATAGTTAGGCAGTGATCGTATTTCACAGACATAACACTTCCTCAGTCATAAAGTGAAAAAATACGTCATAGTAGATTACCTCAGAAGGGCGGTAAGTAGGCAATTACAAACAACACAGTATATTGCCTATAGGTAGGGTGGCCAGGTCTTCAAATCGAATGGAAGGACGGACTAGTCAATTTAACCGGCAATTGGAGTGAAAAGGAAGTACACTTTGCATTTTTGACGATTTGGTGTCGTAAGATTGATTTTAAATAATTAAGAGCCTATTTTTATATTGATAATACACAGGTAAGGTAAAAAGACAATAAAAGCGAAAATACTAGGAAGTCAAACTATGCGTATTGCTATGCTAATGTGTTGGGCAACGTAGCTGCCGGCCCTTGGGTTTTCCAGACAGTCTATTAATTTTTTGGTTAAAACTTTGTACACATGAAGGGCACTGGAATCCCCACGGGCGAAGGGTTTCAACTCCAAAGGAAAAATCCAAATGTAAATAGGTAGTCAGAGCCGAGATCCTAGTATTTATTACATTTTATTCTTTTCGCCAGCTCAGCTGCGGAGCCAGCCCTCTTGCTGGTGTGCTGGAGATGGAATAGGGCAAGTGTGTCGGCACATGTGGCGTCCCACACCAGTGCCCGGCCCATACTCCAAGCGATGAGAGCTATTTAGAGCCCTTTTCTCTTTGAAACGCTCTTTAGTAAAAATTCCTATTTGTCAATTAAAGTTTTTTTTACATCATATCTCCATATTTTTTGGAAATATTTGAAAAAACTTTTTAAATTCTAATAAAATAACAATTAAATGGAATAAATCAGTCTGTTTTTATTATAATTATATCTCTAACTATCTCTTCTATATTATAAATTAGTAAACGGCCTCTGTGGTCGAACTGTTACCATGCGGATCTGCCACGCCGAGGTCCCGGGTTCCATTGGATGGACTATATTTATTTATCTCGGGAGTTTGGGTGTAATTTGTGGTTGTCTTTGTGTGTGTCAGTAGGACCCGCGATACAAGGTATTCCTAGTGCGAGGCTAGGAGCGAGTTTTTTAAAATTAAAATACATATAAAGAAATTTATATTATTGCAATGACTAGCCTTTGAACACAGAGCCTAGCTATGTCCGACTTTAATCCGAACGTGTGGCAACTCTACCTATAACTAAGTCAAATTAAAAGAAATACAAACTTAAATGATGCAAGTATTGACAACCTCCGGGGTCGACTAGCTTGCACACCGGTTTTCATAAATTCACCATCTCTGAAATCCCGGGTACAATCCTCGGCCGGGTTCAGATTAAGCTCAGATTAAACTCCGCTGCATACGCAGTCCGCAGAATACGTGAGCTTACCGATATTAGTACTGCTAGACTAGTTTACTTTAGTTACTTCCATAGTATAATGTCCTACGGGATTCTCATGTGGGGTAAAACGGCAGATATTCAAACCATATTTGTATTGCAAAAACGAGCGATTCGTTCTGTGTACTGTCTAGGCTCTCGGATTTCTCTCAGAGAAAAGTTTAAGGAGACTAGTATCATGACTGTGGCATCACAGTACATTAACTCAAATATTTTATATTCCCGTAAAAATATACATAATTTCAATAAGAAAGAACATATCCATAATATTAACCTTAGAGATAAGTCCAAACTCATGGTACCACGATTTCATTTAACCAAGGTAAACAACTCTTTTGTTGGGAACTGTATACGTTTTTACAATAAGATTCCGGAGCATATACTAAGTTTATCATTTCCTAAGTTTAAAAACTACATTAAAAATATTTTGATCGACATTATAAAATTGAAGACTTGTTAGATAAAGACGTATGGAAAGAAGACATGGCTCCAGAATCCACACAAATTTAATTCAAAGTGTATTCCACAGCATTTAAGTTTATTTGAAAAGAGCAATCCCTAGAGTTTCTAGCTCGTTCTTCTTAGGGAGGTCAGCGTCGTGAACGAGCAGTAGCTTAAATGTGACGTTTTCAAGTGTAAATTTATTTTACCTATGGAATAAATAATCTTTGACTTTGACTTTGACTTGGTCAGTTTAGAGCTCCTTGTGAAGGAATTCGTCCAAGAAAGTACTGCCACTTAACCTATTTCTACCGCCAAGCAGTAATGTGGTGAAATTACAAGCACATGGGACTTGTCAAGTTATGTCTCAAGGTGACAGCGCCCCTCAGATCTTTGCCTATTAAAGCTCTGAGTGGCACTGCAGCTGTAATGGACAGGCGTGTCACTTACAACCACGCCCACTACTTGTTCGTCCCATCGTAAAAAAAACTATTTTTCTCTTAATATTATCTCAATAGAGTTTTCTGATTTCCATAACACGAGTGTTTTAGTTACTTGGGATCAAAGCAACGACAAGACAGCAGTATTGGGATTAGTAAACCTGACATTGCCACTCGATTGAATGCATAATTTTACTTTACAGCTTTAAATATACTTACTAAGATTCTGGGTATTCGTCTGTGGCCCCAGCTCGAACATGACTTGGAGATCAGCGTGGTTGCCGAACGCGAAGCCGAAACCCACACGGGAATCCGTGCCTGTAATATTACAATACAAATCATTTGAAAGAAAAGAAAGAAAATACATTTATTTGTTTACCACAATGACACCACAAAAGACAAAAAAAAGAGAAAACGGAACAAAACAGAACTATAACAAAATACGATCAAAACATTCAACGTAAAACATAAATAATTACGAAACAAAAACACAAACAAACACAAAAGAAAAATGTATATGCAAAAATTTGATAAAATTATAACAGGAACTATTCACACAAATAATAAAAAGAACACTAAATATTGAGATACTTTGTGTGGTGCTAGCCGCGGTAACAAAAGGGTCACAAACTCAGTATTTGCTGGAAAACGCAATGCGTTCCCACAAAACAAGTTACGTTAGCACAAAAAATATAAAAAGTATATTTTTGGTACATATGTATATGATGTTTTGCCAAAACTCAAGGAGCAAATGTTGTTTTTGATGTTAGTATCTAGTCCTGTAATATTTTAAATATACCCTGTATATATAATATTTTTGTTAATGTTCTCGTTAATACGATTACCACAACGAAATGGTTGTCTTTATTACACCTATCTAAGGTTCAAATTTCAGTACTATACTAAGTAAAAAGGGGAAAACACGTACCTTTTTTGATGGGTGGTATATTAGAGTAGGCGACTGAAAGAAGTGATGGCAACTCCTCCGGAATGATGATACCACATGACCCTGTAAAGTAGAGAAAGAACAATTATTGTTTGGCCCGAGATATAGGGTTTTCCGGAGAGACCACGGGCTCGACGGCAAGACCTGGGTACGGCGGGCGTCCAGGCCAAACCCTCCGTCAGTGATATCACGGGTGTCTCTGGTGGACCTGGACTTGGATATTAATAAACCATATTAATGGACCCCGAGTTCAGGTTTATGGTTAGCTGCAGAGACGAACACATTCCTCTGCCCCGGTGGTGTGTGGCCGGGGCATTCGTCTCGCGCGCAGCTAGTGTCCAGATTGTCGCAAGACACTGCCACTTGGCATCTCCGGCACTAGCTCCGAGAGTCAGTAAAGGATGAGCTAGACATCTTCCGGTCCCTCCCGCCGCGTAGGAATTTGGAAACTGGAGAGATACGGTTCATTCTGCGGGAAGTAAGCATGCCTTACAGCTCCGTCACCAATGAGGAGATTTGCTAGTCGACTTAAAGTCTGCGGCACAGCAGTGGCAACCGTTAGTCGTGCGGAACGTGACGGGAAGTGAAAATAGGGAGGGTGCTGTACGTGTACCCGGGGCGGCTCACCTAAGGCACTAGCCTTACAGAGAGCCGAATGAAGTCCGTGCAAACGGGCTGATCTGGGGTTAGGACCTGACTTACATGGTCTCTGTACGGGTTCGCTCGCACATGACATAGTGCACTTCCCGCATAACCAAGAGGTTGAGATGGAGGGGCACTATAAACAAAACTTATGTAGAACGATACGGGACTGTCCCCTACATAGTCCCTATCTACTGGCCCTAGAGGTAGGGAGTTCCGGGCAGCCTACGGGCTCGCCGGTAAGACCAGGCACTATAATCTTGTTCTCTGACATCTGTCTAAAACACTTACTATCAAATAAGTAAAACTCGACCACTTTAAAAGACGCATGATACGAAAGAAGCTTCATACTTGACATCTTGACGTCTTTTGCTCTCTACTGCCTCCTTATTGTAGATGAGTATAAGTCTCCGGATTGTTTATATTGGCGTAAAGGTATTACAACCGGGCATCGAGTATATAACCAGAAATAGAGACGAAATAAGGGGCATCCATCACTGGCTACTCATCAGGCAATGGCAGGTCTTATATGATTTTTAAATATCAACTCTTGTTTGCGCTGAAATCACAAATTAGAAAACTGAAATAGTACATCGTCAACAACTCACCTGTGTGTACGTCTCCGTATATTCCAAAAATATTCTGTATTTATTGTAATATAGATAATATCTCTAACAATGGGGGGCTGTTGGAACAGCCCACCGAATGGATTCGGTGGTGTGGGAAAGATAGCATAACATCTAATTACAAAACAAACCGTCATCACATTTCATCGGTAATTAAATGTTAAATATGTAATTTTTCAACTTTTGTCCATTACTGCAAAAGCTCAAGTTAAACTAGCCGATTTGAAGGGTAACAATTCACGCCACCCGTCAATTGTTTCGAATTCAGGCTGGCCAATCGGAACGCAGTTGTCATCGTAATGATTTGGCAGAATAGTTTTCAAACAAATTAAATGACATTTCGTCTCTATTTCTGGTTATATACTCGATGCAACCGAACCATAAACCTTTATAAAAAAAAAAGATTGATTAAAGTACAGGCGGTCCTTGGCCACTTCTATGCTATCTCTTTGGGTTTTTTTTTGTAGCATTTGTTTGGCTTTTTGAGTTTGTTGTCATAAATTGTTAACAAAATATATGTACATTAAATATTGATTATGTTTCTTTATTTTATTTGCTGTCATTACATAATTAGGTAATAAAATCTCACTAAGGCCACTCAGCCCATTATGCAACGATTGCATATAATTTTTTTTTTCTATTCAAATGTAAGTGCTGTGCTGGTTTGACCTCCATCTCATCTGATGGAAAGTGACGATGACGTCAACTATGGAGCATGCACACCTAAATAATGCCTGTTCACTCTCGCCTTGAAAAGGCCCAAGTAATAACGTTCAGGGAACAAGTCTGCAGGCAGAGAATTCCACTCCATAGCCGTTCGGCATATAAATACGGAAGCATAACGCTTCATGCGAACCCTTGGAAATCCACAACATAGGTGTGGAACCCAAGCCTACACTTAGTCCCCTGGTGATAGAAACGGGAAGGCGGAATTAAGTCGTGTAATTCCATCGCAAACTCTCAGTGATATACCCTGTAAAATACCAATAAACAGGCAACTTTACGGCGATGTTCAAGGCTGATATATATAAGGACGAACAAGCTGTGCGCCTGATGGGCAACACGCCTGTCCATAACAGGTGCAGTGCCACTCAGAGCTTTAAAACACAAAGACACTGCCAATGCTCCCGCCCTGAGACATAAGTTGAAAAGTTCCATGTGCCTGTAGTTGGAGGCAGAATCAAATCAAATCAAATCAAATCATTTATTTGCATGTCACAGTTACAGTACATTTTTAAATACAATTTAAGGTGTTATGTCATTGTATAGGATCATGTGACGCCCTGTAAGGGCATGGCAAATTACAGAGGGGCATTTATAAAGTATACTAACAAATTTTTATCAACAATGTCAATGCATGCATTAAATTCCTTATGATGTTAATACGTACTTAAGCTATCATTCATTCAATATATGTCATTAAAAAAAATAAAAATAATAAAAATTAACAATTCATAAAGATATCAACATTATCATATTTATGGAATGAAAAGTATTTACAAAATAAAAATAGGTAATAGTCTTAATATTATTAAATAAATGTCAAGGGCAATTTCATAATATAATTTTAATTTTAATAAATAGATAAGGTGGCAATACTTTCCTGAACGAACTCTCTCACAAGGAGCTCTACTGTTTAAATGTCGAGAACAGCTAGTTTATTGTTAACCGACTTGAAAAAAGGAGGAGCATGCCATTTAAATTTGAAGAAAATATTCCACCTCTATGTATGGAAAACTAGGTGATGAATAAAACTTGCCAAATAGAATTCCACGAATTTTTAAGGACGGTTTTTTTTCTTATAAAAAAGTTTCTCTTAGCATAAATAACATTTTCACTCGTGGCAATAAGAACTCCTACAACATCGCAATTAACGCTAATTTCACGCATCGAGGTTTGACCTGTGGTGTCGGTGATTGTCTCACTACGTAAACTCGCGGTTGAAGTGTCACAACACGACATAGGTCATACGATAGGATGCGTTCACACCTTGACCCAAAGAGCCATGCCAAACAGAACACACATTCATGTTTGTGTTTGTACACACACAGATACCATCACGCCTGTCTCGTGAAGGGGTAGGCAGAGACAACTGACCTCGTCATTCGTCTTTGAATAGACAAACATTTTTTTTAAACTAACACCAAAGACGGGACGAACAGGCCGTGTGTCCGGTGGTAAGCGACACGTCTGTCCGTGATTGCAGTTCGTTCGTAAGTTAACAAGTCCCATGTGCCTGTAATTTCACCGGCTCCATTACCCTTCAAAACCAGAACACAGTAATGATCATATTACCAATGCCCTACCAATACCATACTACCAATACAATACCATACTACCAATGCCAATGCCCCGGCTTTGTTTCAGAATTTATTTTTTACAAACTAAATTAAGGCCATTTGAAAAGGCTATATGTAAAATGCTATCATCATCATCATCGTCATCAATCAGCCTATCGTAGTCCACTGCTGGACATAGACCTCTCCCAATGCACGCCATTTCGCTCGGTCCTCAGGTCGTTGCATCGATTTACTGCCAGCAACCCTTCGCAAATCTCACTACATCTTTTTTTTTTTTTTTTTTTTTTGTTTTTTTAAAACAAAAAAAAAAAAATTAACATTATTCTTTTCACTAGGTAAGAAACCTTATGGTCATAGAGCGTTCTACTCAAGAACTCGCTTCCCCGTCGGTTCTTCGACAGATATGGCCAGCACACTGCTACTTCAGCTTGCTTACACTACCAGCTATATCGACCACCTTAGTTCTCTGTCGGATAACCTCGTTCCGTACCTTGTCCTCCAAAGAAACCCCTATTTCTGCCGCCAAGCAATAATGTGAGCATAACTGCATTCCGGTTTTGAAAGGTAATGGTGTTGTGAAATTACAGGCACATGGGACTTGTCAACTTATGTATCAGTGACAGGCACAGTGGCATTGTCGTTCAGATCTTCAGATCTTTACGATTTAAACCTGTGAGTGGCATTGCAAATGTTATGGAGAGGCATGTAGCTTACCGTCAGGCGCGCGACTTGTTCGTCCCGGCACTTGTTATATAAAAAAAATACAAATAGTATCGGGATACGAATTCTAAACAATTTATTTGCAAGTCAAGATGTTTCCCGAAAGAGATATAACTGTGGTACATTCACAGCTTGCGGGTAAAGTTCATCGCACCTCTCATGATTAAGTAACAAACAAATATCCAAACACACAAACAGCTATACAGGCTTTCTCATTTGCAATATCGATGGGATGAGAACAGCAAAATTTCGTAGAAAATCTGCGAGGGATACGCTACGGTTTCGACTTCTTTACAGGCCCTATTATTAAGGCTTACGTTTTGATAATAATATTAAGTTTATATCGACAACTAATTTTGTTAATATACAAAAAAGCTTACACTATTTGGAAACCTTTGAAAATTTTCTTTCTAATATCAATCTTGAAGTTGGAAATGCTTAGAGGTTGGAAATGCGTTCTCTTTTTTTGATATGCTCTCAAATGGTGCAAAGAGAATTTAAGCACTAAATGGTGGATCAAAAGGGAGTGCTTTTATGAAACGCAAAATAAAGGGAAAAAGAAGACTCTGTGCGATGTCTATGGAATGTCTATAGAAACTATTTTTAAAATAATTGTATAGAATACATTGACTTACAATTATATGGACGTCGGGTCCGCGCTAAAAAGTGTCCGCACTTGTAAGGCGCTAAAATCGTATACAGAGCGCCAAACTCCGCCTTAGTCTTCATTTGTTCGACTGACAGCGCGATACTGCGATGACATTACAATTTAAAT